TCAGGACTACATCCCACAAAGGCATACATAGCAGACTGAGCAGTTAATTTATATCGTTCACGAACGGGAAGATGAACAAAACAAAGACACCCAAAAACATGAAGGCTAGAGAAATCTGGGGGATAACTAAAAAGTTTTTGAAAGGGAGAGGTGTTGCCTAGAACAGAGGATGGAAGAAAATTGATCAAATACGGTTGTACTGGCTGCTTCTACCCAAAACGAAGTTGGAGTATGAGACTCCTGTAGTAATGTCCGTACAACACTGAGAATGTGTCCGTTCTTCCATTCAGCTACACCATTCTATTGTGGAGTTTCTGGGCAGCTGCGCTGAGACTAAATTTCATGACTCCTCAAGTATGCCAAGAAGTCTCCATCTCTATATTCTCCCCTTGAATTTGAGCGGAGGATAGTCACACTGCACTTGAATCGATTTTGCACCATAGTATGAAATAATTTAAATGCACCAAAGACTTCTGATTTGTGTCGTAGAAAATAAGTCCAAGTATATCTGGTACAATCATCTATAAATAATACAAAATATCTGTACTCCAATCGAGAAGTAATAGAAGCAGACCAAAGATCACTATGTATTATCTCAAAAGGTTTAGTGGCATGTTCAGATTTATGAAGAAATGGTAAAACATGACTTTTACTCAAACACGTAGTGCAAGAAACATCAAAAGTATCAACAGGGGGAATTTTATTCTTAATCAAACTAGAGTCAAATAAAAAATTTTAATTTTTGGAGATATGGATGACCCAATCATTTATGCCATAAATCCCAAACATTATTTCTATAACTCAACATAGAATCAGACAAAGAAGAACTAAGTAAAGTTGACGATGCCCCCCGTTGAGACTTCTTGAACTCTAGCGCAAACAAATGGCCCAACTTATGCCCCTTCCCTTTCACCTTCCCAGTGTACCGGTCCTGTATCAAGCAACCACCATGAGAAAAGGTGAGAACATTTCCCTCATCAACAAGTTGACCAACAGAAATCAGATTAGTAGTAAGGTTGGGTACTAAGAGGGTTTTGGAGAGAGGAAAGGATCTGGTTGGTGACAGTTGAAGGGACAGATCATTACTACCGATGATGTCTAACTTTTCACCATTAGCAGTAATAATATGTTTATGGTGAGTTTTAGTAGAAGGGATTGGGTAGTTGAAGTAGGCTCCTGGCATATGGTTGGTGGCACCTGAATCTATATTCCAAGCATGTGAAGGGGAAGAACAATATGTAGAGAACTTACCATACAAGCCAATAGTAGAGAAGCAAAGGAAATAGCAGAAGATACCAGTTGTTGAACCCTTTCTTCATCCATGACACCTATTGATTCACCTTTCACTGAAGACTCACCCTTGGTAGATGCAGTGTTTGTTGCTGGTCCATCTGTTGCCTGATAGGCCCGGGGCTGAGTCTTTTTCTAAGAGCCCTTAGCTGGTTGGACTGGACAGTCTGAAATGATGTGACCATGTTGCTTGCAATAGGTACACACATTCTTCTTCTTACAGTGAGATGCAATATGTCCAAAACCCTTACACTCATAGCACTGGGTTTTGGAGAGGTCCTTGGAAGTTGACTTCTTACCCCCATCAGCAACAAAGGCTGTTTTAGCCCCAACTTCAGCCATCTTCCCATCAAATCCGGCTGCAGTGAGAAGTCTAGTCTCTTCTCTCAGAAGTTCCCCTAAAACAGAATCCATATATGAAAGTGTTCCCCTACTTAGAATGTTGGACCTGATTATCTCATATTCAGGTCTAAGTCTCATCAAGAACTGAGTCACCTTTCTCTTTTCAAAGTGCTTCTGAAGATATTTTACACACTCCACTGGATCCGAGGGTTCAATGTGAACAATCTCATATTCAGCCCATAAATCAAGAAAACCAGAATAATACTCTTGTATTCTCCTATATCCTTGGCTGTAAGAGAATATTTTTGATTCTATCTGATATTGCTTAGATACGTTGGACTGTTGATAAACTTTTTCTAGATACATGTACATCTCATATGCTGTTTTCATTCTCCTCATGGGTACAAATATATGATAGTCAATAGAACTCAGAATCCAAGAAACAAGTTTACCATTGTCCAACTTCCATTGTTGTAAAGCTTTGGCCTTGGTCTCAGATGGTTTGGTGACCATTCCATTCAGATATCCTTCTAAATCCTTTCCCTCAACATAAAAGTCGAAGTGGAACTTCCACATCCCATAATTCTGTCCATTCATCTTTACAGGGATGATATCACCTCTGTCTGAAGCCATTACAACAAGAAAATAGCACAAATAGGGTTCAGCTGAAGCTTAAAGAAACTAATCTGAAGTAAGACTTGATCCAAAGACAAGTGAAATGGGTTGTAATCAATTCAAGAGAGTCAAAAAACTAAGATAAAAACCGCTTACTTTCACCGAAGATTGTTCAAGATCCAAAACAAAGAAAAGCTGAACACACGGTCTAGAAAAGGAAAGTCCGGGCGCAGCCGCCAAGAAGAAGAGTCTAGATCTCTCTCAAAACTTCACGGATCTCCGTAAAAATTTCAGAATATGTTGAGAAGGGCTAGGTGACAACTCCTTTCAATTCTTGCTACAAACAGAGGTCAAAAGAGAGATTTCCAATAAAATCTCTCTCTGGGTGCGCAGAAAACAAAAGAGGAGTTCTTAGATAGATCAAAACAGTCTAGGACCACTCGGCAGAGCTGTAGATTTTCAATAGATCACGAAGGCAAGATGGATCAGAGAGAAGGAAGATCAAAGAGCAACCTGCTCTGATACCATGTGAACTAAATTCAGATCTAGAAGAAAACAGATCTAGGGGTGTCAAGAATGGTCGACCCCCACCCCAAAGAGCCTCTTTTATGTTAAAGAGATAAAAAGTATGTATAGTTACAAGAATGCCCTTATAGGGCTGAAAGATAAAAAGAACAAATAAGACAATAAGAACTATGATACTGTACAACACGGACTATTCTAAGAATGTACATCAAGATATATCTTCATAGACAGAACCAAACATATTGAAGTTGACAGACATTTTATTCGAGAAAGAGTGGCTTCTGGAGAAGTTTGTCTACCTTTTATCTCTTCTGAAGGACAATTAGCTGATTTCCTTACCAAAGGCTTCCCCAAGGCTAAACTTCAGCATGATACTGGCAAGCTTGGCATGATTGACATCTATGCTCAGCTTGAGGGGGAGTGTGGAGAAGATGGGCCAAATGGCCCATAGACTATTTTCTTATTTGTTTTCTTTATGTTCTTTGCTGTAATGGGCCTCAACTTGGGCCTTTCTTATGTTATGTCTTTTTTAATTATTCACCCAGTTAAGGGCCTCTCTGTAAATTACTAAAATTAAGTTAATGAAAAAGGATTAGGGGTGTAAGAGGAGATTAGATTCGAAAATCTCTCTCTGAACCCTTATTGCCACCACCTTCTTCTTCCTCTTCTCTCTTCTCTCTTGATTTCTGCTGTTCTCAATCACTTTTCTGCATCTTTTTAAACAGTCTGTTCATTTTAGAAGGCTGTTTTTCTTCTATGACATCATTGGAAATTGGAAGGAAGTGGCGGACTCAAATGTCAATAAGCTGCCTGTTATTCCTACCTGATCCCCTCCTGAAAGAGGATTTATAAAGCTTAACTTTGATGGGAGTAGCATGGGAGACCCAGGTATGTCAAGAATTGGAGGTGTATTCGGGGATGAGGAAGGTAAAGTGTGTGCAATATTCTCAGGCCCAGTAGGTGAGGGAAACTCACTAAGAGCGGAAGTAAGGGCAGTTATGGAAAGGGTGCAAAGGGCTAGAACCATGAATGTTAGAAAGCTAATCATTGAAGGGGTTCCAAACTGGTAGTGGCTTGGTTACTGGATGAGGAAAGTAGGTTGTGGAATACAACAATGAGAAGAAAAAATTCATTTGGATCACAAAGGGCATGGAATTGAGAATATGGTGGGTGAAAAGAATAGCTAATTCGATGGCTGATGCACTAGCCAAGCAAGGGGTTGGGAGAAATATAACATTCTGGGTACAAATGTAATTTTTTAATTAAAAAGGGGAGAGATAAGAGGGTGTTTTGGAGCAGCTACAGTAACCCGAACCAGTGAAGAAGGAAGAAGAAGRYGAGGAAGAAGACAAGAGAAAGAGAGAACAGGAGGGTTTAGTCGAAACTGATTAGTCTCCCATTCAGTCGACCCCCTAATGTTTATTAGGTTCTAATTACACTTACAAAAACTAAACTGCCCTCACTTAAGTGTGGGGCAGAGTACTCTTATAAAACTACCCCTATTCGGCTCACTCTAACAAAGGGATTGTCTCTCTCCCACTTTCTCTTGTACACTTTCTTTTAAATTCAATGAAGTTAACTGTTATTAATAAAAAAAGAAAAGTATTAGTGATGGAGAAAGTTGTGATTTGCTGATGTGGAAATTATCTAGAGACATAGGACTTCTAAATAATAGAAAGGAAAGGGGTATATGAAGTAAATTTGAAGAAATTTTCTGCTGAAGACTCTATTCTAAGTCTAACTAACCTTAGAATTTTTTAAGTTCGTATCTTCTGAGCAACAGGAAAAAAAACTTAGAAAAACAAAATAAAATGTGAAACTAGAATTCTGCCAGACCTGTTTGTTATTTGTAATTTTGCTGTATCTTGGGCATTATCATACTCTAATAGCTCAATGGAAGAAATTTTCAAAGATTTCGAATCCACTGCATTCGAGCATTTATTGATTGGCATGGATAAATATCATTGAAATTTAAACTAGGCTCTAACATAATGTCCAAAGGCCTTGAACCCAGTGTTTTTACCTAATCCTGATCTTCACTTTCTTATAATGGTGTCCTAGCCTCCTTCCCCACTTGTTTATATGAACATCTTTGTTTAATATATTTGTCTTCTTCTTTTCTTGTCTTTGTTATTCATGAACTAGATGCATGCATCTTTTCCCTATAAAATCTAAATGCCCTTATCCATGTTGGGCTGTTTTTCACTCTAGTAATTTTTAATGCTTAGGGACAAGGATGGATACCATTGGCTTACTGGTAGAGTTGATGATGTTATCAATGTCAGGTATCTGGTTGGCTTTCAACAACTTCTATGGAACTTATCAATATTAGATGAGAACACATGAGAACATATAATACATATACAAATGGAATATGGGTAGTTTCAAATGTGTTTGAGCTTGATGTTGATTGTATGTGTAATGTCCTGCATTTTTGTTTTATATATACATAATATATACAGTGGACACCGTATTGGCACAGCAGAAGTGGAATCTGCTTTAGTCTCACATCCCCAATGTGCTGAAGCTGCTGTGGTTGGTGTTGAGCATGAGGTGTCTCTCTCTCTCTCTCATGAGTACAAATACACACAAACACATAGAAGAAGACAAAAAGTTTGCTTATTTATTTAAAACAATATATCACAGACTACCTGTAGTATATACTTTGATTATGGAATCTCTCCTAACCTATCTTGTAATCATATTTTATGCTCTTCTTGCTCTCAGGTCAAAGGACAGGGGATTTATGCCTTTGTTACTCTGGTGGATGGTGTTCCTTATAGTGAAGAACTCCGGAAAAGCCTTACACTTGCTGTAAGAAAGCAGGTATTCATCCATTTAAATTGTTTATCTAACATGATACTAAACTTTTTGAAGCATGATATGTTGACACCAACAGTAGTACAAAAATTAATAGGCCACTATGTATCCCAATTAGTATTTGAAGCACATGGTTGTAGTCTATCTAAAAAATACTTCTGGAAGTATGTGGTGGTTTTTTCACAATGTTTTAGGTTATGCCTATGCTCTTCTGTAGTCCTATTTGAGTCCAATGCCATGTGCTTATTCTCTGCCATTCGTTCTGGTGATATAAGAAAAGTATTTTACCCAAGAATTTGAATTTGAATTCCACTTTTTTGTCAAAAAAAAAGAATTTGAATTCCACTTTTTTTCATTTTTTTTATTACATGCATCAGAGCTATTTCTATTCCATGTAGTGGTAACCATGCATGTATAGCACAAACACCATATGAAAGTGCACTTACATATTCCTCACTAAGACCTCTTCTAGGTTAAGAAACATGCAAACTCATGTATTGTTCTTTGATGAAGTGCTATCCATACTCAGAATTCATAAAAAGAAAAAACAACCAACCATTTGTTGACAGATTATCCAACTGATATGTGCAGCACTGTATTTGGCATAAAACAGGGTGCCTAAAAGATAGGATTCCACAAGAACAGAAATTACAAAATGCAGTCAAAGGATGTTGTTGACAGATTTTATTGTATGTACTGTACACAGATTTAGTGCCTGCAAGGGTATTTTTGTAATTTCTATACCACTTGTGTTGTATGGCCAGTATAGTATAAATACA